CCGGGGTCGTTGCAGCCGCACGGACTGGCGTGGGTGTGAGCGTGGGAAATGACAGGGTAAGGCATGGATTATCAGGCCATTCCGTGTAGTCTTTCCGATGGGGACGTGCACGCGCAGAGCAAGTCTCGCAGATGTAGATGGGGGCGTCAGCCACTGGCCATTGACCACTGCTTGTTTGTTTGTTTGTTTGTTTTGTATTGGCGGGACGCCCGAAGAACAAGACTAACAGCGGCAGGGTGATTCGCTATGACCGCTTTTCAGAGGTACATAGTAAGTGGCCTTCCGGCTCCGACGAACCGGGTCCTCTTTTGAATCCTGGAGTCCCGATGCGCTGAGGGGATGGATAGACGGGTGCGGGATATAGGTAGGCAGTTGGATGTTTAGATATCGGGCATGGGCACGGGCGCAGGGAATTGCAGCAATGCATCGCAATCACAATATTGCAATTGAGTTTTCGGGGAAGGTAGACTCAACAAGATATCCATATCCAAGGAAAGACTTCCTTCCCACACCAGCCCGGCAGCCTGCAACAGACTGCCTTCCCTCTCCACCCTTTTCTGACCAGTCGCGTTTAACCCCATGGTTCCGTAAAACTGCACCTAGGACTCCCGTAGATAATCACAGCCGAACCACAAAGCACACCCCGTAGCTATCGCCATCACCAGCTCATGGATCGATCACATGAGCACTTGGAGCTCTGTTCTCGCGCGTCGTCCATTGACATCTCAATTTCTCAGTTCGCACGGGTATCCGATGACTCTCCTCCCTCTCCGCCGATACGCGAGACGCGCACCGCCAACTTCCGATCCAGCGCATCCTGCTCTTCCTTCGAGGGTTGCATGCCCAAAGCGTTTTCTACCTGGGGCGTGGTCCAGAGTCCGATGCCTGCCCAGGCCATGACGCCGATACCGAACAGGGCCCGGGTTTTGGGGGCGAGGCCACGGTAAGAGCTGTGAAGCTTGTTAGTTTCTTCCTTTCTTGTCTCAGTGTTTGGGGGGTGTGCGGGGGTTGGTCGGTTTAAGGCTGTGTGACCTACCTCCAGAGAGACATTTGGATTGGGAATGGAAGTTTTGTAGTCTTGGAGGGAGATAATAATGCGTGACTTCAATGTTGGCTTTGCTACTTTTGAGTCACGTGGAGATATGTACACTTTCGGTCACGGGATCATTTTGGTACCTGAGGCTAGCGAACTCTATGTTACTACTTCGATTTGTACCAATACGGCGGGTCCGAATATGTGTCTTTTTGTCTGCCGCTAATTCCTGCCAGGTACATGGACATCTTCGGGTACTTTTGGATTAGTTGGGAGGTGGTGTAACTGTGGCTGATCAGTGAGGTACCGAGGTACCTAGGTACTTTGGACAAAGGCACTGCTCCATGCATATGTACTTGTACTTTTGCATATATGACAGGTCTGCTAGATTCATAGTATATGGCTGGATAAACCAGTCATCGGAGATATTCTTGAATATAAGTTCATGTTCAAACCATAATAAGGGGGTGTTGATTCTAATATCTTTGTCTTCTAGTCGGAGTCTAGGCTATATACTATGAACCATCCGTAGGACCAAAAGACCCTTGGGTGTTGGAGAAAAGGGTCCATGGCCGATCAAAGAAGCTTTCTGTAAAATAAGATGAAGCTAAGTGGGTTATGATAAAACAGATCCGTTGCTATGTCCGTCAGTCCATGTCCACATGGATTACTATATTGTCTACATCGTGGCAGAAATGAAAAAACATCAAGAGCATGAGTTGAGAGAAATGTAAAAATAGATTTGAAAAAGTGGTAATAACAGAGAGGGTCTCAAAGCGCAAGCAAATACAGCAGGGAAAAGAAAATAGAAGAAAAAAAAAAAAAAAAAAGGGTGAGGCTCGAAAATCCAAGTGAAGCACTTTGACATGCCTTTTTTTTTATTTCTTGCCGTAGGCCTTGCTGATTTCGGACTCGTAGCGGGCGAGGATCTTCTTGCGCTGGAGTTTTTGCGCAGCGGTCATGAAACCCTAATGTATTGTTAGTAAGGTTCATACTCCAGGTAGTTCGAGAATCACTTACGTTTTGCGGGGTCCACTCGTCGTCAGATAGCACAACACCGTTAATAATCTCGATGCCTTTCAAGCCACCAGCACGGCCAGCGGACTGCAGCTGCTGCAAGACGATCTTGTTGAGCTTTTCGTCGTGAACAAGGCTCTCGAGTGTGTCACCCTTGATGCCGTTCTCGTGGGCAAGCTTCTTCAATGCCGGCTCGGCGGGAACAATGATTGCGACGGGCTTGTCTTGGTCCTGGGCAGCATAGACACAGATGTTGCCAACCACGGGAGATGAGCGGTAGACAGACTCGAGCTTCTCCAGAGCGATGTATTCACCGTTCAGGGTCTTGACCAGGTTCTTCTTGCGGTCAATGATACTCAGGTGGCCGTTGCGATCGAACTCGCCAATGTCACCGGTCATGAACCAGCCATCCTCAGTGATCGCAGCCTTGGTCTCTTCCTCATTCTCGTAATAGCCTGTGGTCACACTGCCACCGCGGATGAAAATCTCACCCTGAGGGGGTTTGTTCGAGGTCAGATATCCAGCATCGGGGAAGTCAACAAGCTTGACCTCGATCGAGGCAGGAATCTCACCCAGGGCATCGGGGTTCCAAGCCAAGGGGTCGTTCAGGGCACCCATGGCAGAGGTCTCGGTTAGACCGTAGCCGCTAATCATGGGGGCGATAGCCATTGACAAGAACCTCTGGGTGTCCTTGGAGACGGGGCCACCACCGTTCATGACAACACGGAGTCTGCCTCCGGTTGCCTCCTTTAGCTTTTTGAAGACAACAGCGTCCAAAACCGAGGCGCCCAGGTTCGCACCAGGGAAGCCGGTGCTCATGAGGAAACTCTTGGCCGACATGGCGCCCCAGAACATACCCTTGACCACGAAGCTAGCCTTGTTTAGGTTGGTCAAGACACCCTTCTTTACTGACTCCCACACGGCCGGAACACCGACCAAAACGGTAGGCTTGAACTCCTTAATGTCGCCCAGGCAGTTGCGCATAGAGGCATCGGACAAGGTTCGGGGGTTACCGTATCCCATGGTACCACCCCAGAACAAGCACAGGTTCTCGAACATGAATTCCAGAATGTGAGATTGGGGGAGGTAGGTCAGGAGGGAGTCCGTGTGGTTGATACAGGGACCGATGACGGCGTGAACACCAGCAGCTATTGCGAGACATTAGTTTAGTAGACAGTGGTTCCGGGGCTCTTTTTGGCTTACTAGCAGCGATCACGTTGGCATGAGTCAATGGCACACCCTTTGGTGGTCCGGTTGTGCCCGAGGTGTACATGATGCAGCACAGGTCCTCCGGCTTGGGGGGAACCGGCTCCACGAGGTTCTCCTCGCCTTGCTTGCGCAATTCCTCGATGCTCTGCACATTGATGTGGATAAACTCGCTATGTAACTGATCAAGAAGCTTTTGGTCCATTTCCGTGTCGGTGTTGTAGATAATGTGCTTGATTGAAGGCACGCTCCGGAGGATGCTGATGAGCGATGGCAGCAGGCCAGGGTCAAGGAAGATGGCAGTGCTGCCAGTTTGAACGATAGAGTGCTTTAGGCCTTCCTCGCCTAGGGTATCATATGCGGTCACAATGGTCACGGACTGAGAGGCAGAGCCTGTAATAGTAGGTTAGTGGGTTTGCTCGCGCGTCCGGAAAATAAGGGTAAACGAACCGTGTGACATGGCTAGCCAGTGTGCGCTATCAAGGACAATCAAGTCAGTTATCCTGCTCCGAATTTCCTTAAAAGGCGCAATGTGTTACTTACCTCGTCGCACCGTAGAGGTGGATTCTGCTGTCCTTCTCGAAGCCTAGCTTGCGGAGGCCGCTACCGAGCTCCAGACAGAGCTTCTCATATTCGAGGAAGGTCTTGTAGGTATAACCACTCATTTCAAAATAGGTCCACTTCTTGTCAACCTCCTGCTCAACACCATCCACGATCTTCTTGACCTTCTTGTTCTCCACATGAGTCTTGATTAGCCGGCGGCTACCGACAGCTTTGGAATTGCCAAAGACGCGAGCTGACCGGCGCATATTCTCGTAGGTAGTAGAGACATCTTCGAGTGTCGTAATAAGGCCGTCCTTGGCCTTGGGGTGTCGACGAGGGATTGTCTCACCGGGGACGCGCTCATATCCGGGCGCCTCGATCGAGAAAGGGCCCTTCTTGACCATGCGCGGCTGGAGGTGGATGTTTTGTACCGACATATTGACTGTATGTCCCGATCAAAGGGAAAGCGGAAGGTGCCGGAGTATCGAGGATCGAAGAAAAGTTCCTCTACTGGAGAGGGGGGTTGGATGTTAGCTAGTGCGGAAATAGCACGGAGCTAGGAAGGGGACAAAACACACGAGCTGTAGGAAGCTAGAGCAGGAGCTAAAATGAAAAAAAAAACTTACCAAGTCAAGGAAGAGATGGGAGTATTATAGTATTATCTGAGCCTTCCGAGGAGAAGAGAGAGTTGGCCTTGGAAGGTTAGTTATGTGGCTGGTCTTCGGCAAATGACGCAGAGGTGTCTAAGGTTTTTCGGCCTTTCGAGTTGCAGTACTCGCACGGAGCTCTTCCAAGGCACTTTCAAGTGCTTTTTATTTATTGATTTTATTTTATTGATTTTTAATTTTAGGTCTCGGTTTTTAAAATATCTCATTCCAAATCAAAGCAATAATAGGAAGTCGAACCTATTTGTACAACATAGTATGGTATACTCCCGGTAGATCAGTTCCCGTTTTCCCTTTTTCTGTTGGGTTTCCCAACAATTCTATTAGAAGTCATAGCTTTGATAGAACCACTAGAATAGGGTTAAATAGGCGTAAATGATATATAATTATTGGATATCCCCGGTATACTTTATATAGTTATAGTTATATATATATAGTCACAGTTATATTCTTGGTCCCGTGATCCCTTCAAAAATAATAACCAAATCAAATATTCCCCCATAACCCATCACTAGAACATCCGTGGATATCAACTCATGGACCAAATCATCCACCTACTCGCCAATGGCGAAGAAGTCATCGACGTGGACGAGGGTACACCACTCCCGCATATATTCCAAAAGTACTCCGCATACTCACTAAACTCGCTATAGAATCATTTCTCCTCTTCGCACAAGACATTCCAAGCAACAACCTAGGAATGCTCAATCCCCGAGCACCATCCGTAGAGATCTCTATCAATGGCAATGAATACACAATCCATCAATCACCATCATTACTTTCCTCCCATCGGGCAGGAGGTACTACAGGCGCCGGTAAGTACGGACTCCGGTACGGAGTACACCACATAGGAGCTCGCATGATCTGCACCAGTTCCTTTATGATTTGTCCCCGGAATCCCCAGAGACCACAAACCCAAGCACGGACTTCTCCGCAGGTCTTTACCCGAGTCCGAAGTGCCCAGACCAGGCCCGAGGGTCAAGGCGTCGAATTCTCAAGTCGTCCTATCCGCTGTTTGTGTGTGCCTCGGCTCTCGGAGGATGAATGTCTCATTTGACTCGGACCCTGACACTGTCACATTGTGCTTTTCTCGCTTTTCTCCCTCAAACACGAGATCGAATTGTCACCTGCTCTGCTATCCCTTAGCTTTTCCCTTTTTATACCTCGGGATACCTTGGCGACTTCCCGACTATCCACAAAATCACCACCCGCTTTCATGTTCACTGCAATCAATAGCCATCCATCCCGAAATTAATTCACTACTAACCCTGCAAAAAAAAACCCCTTCAGTCCTATGGAAAATTACTCCCCTATTCGCAGAATGGATAACCAATCCCTCAAACCCGCTCTGGACAACCTCCCTCCTTAGCCAGAGTTCAACCGTGGCCGAACTCGGAACCGGGATCTCAGCGCTAGTCTCTCTCGTACTGGCACCTTCCGTGCGTCACTACATTGCCACAGACCAGGAATACGTGCGCAAATTATTTCGGACGAACCTTGACGCCAATGCGTCCGTCGGTGCCTCTTCTAGCAACAGCAAAGCAAAAGGCAAGAGCAAGGGATCCAAATCATCCAAATCAAAGTCTCAATCGACTGTCAAGCCTGTTGATAATATCTCCTTTACAACACTGGACTGGGAGACTGACCAAGCCGCCTCACTAAAGGAATGTATGGAATCCGACGATGCCCAGGCCCAAGATGAGGAAGAAGGGGAAGATAAAGGCTTCGACCTCCTCCTTTCCTGTGACTGCATCTACAACGAAGCACTCGTTGCACCGTTCGTGCGCACCTGCGCCGAAATCTGTCGGCTGCGGCCGGCGTATGTTGCTGGTTCTGAAGAACCTCGCCCGCGCCGTAAACCGACGGTTTGCATTATCGCGCAGCAGCAGAGGTCGCCGGATGTGTTTGAGACTTGGCTTAGGGAGACAATGCGGGAGTTCCGGGTTTGGAGGTTGAGTGATGATGTACTCGGGAAAGGACTAAAGAATGGCTCTGGATATTTGGTACATTTGTTATTGGCGAAGGATAAATAGAATACAACCGTAGATACAACTTAAGTACATATGGGGTGGTTTTGTTCATGTGTATCTTGGGGATGCAAGCTGATTAGGATATAGCTAACTTAAAAGGCCTAAGGTCCCCTTTTACTAAAATCACCAGGTATAACCTTGGAACCTTGGAGCGTACAGTAAGATGGCCTCGACTAACGAGATTGTTTGGATGAACATTTTCGTGCTAAAATTGAGAGACTCTTGAAGAGGAATCAGACTGATATGGCTGAATACTTCGATGTGATTGATATATAGGATCTCAAAACATATTCCAGATCACCAATGAAGCTTGCCGGTGTCATTAGCAAACGCATCGGAGGCAGACTTGTTTTCTACAGTCTCGGTAGCCACTCTATTTCTTGCATTGACAGTAAAAAGCCCGAATAATACTTTCTGGGAGACATTCCTTTATGGCACAATCTCCTGTTTAGTACCCTCAAAGCGGCCGTGGAACTCACGGCAATTTGCAAGTGCAATAACAACAAACCCTACTATGCGGTTTCATTTACCTCAATGGGTGTTACACAAGTAGAGGACATTGGTACAGCAGACATATATAGATGGACTAGTATGCTCAGCATATTTATGCAATTAGCTAAAGAAGCATTGGGCGATAATCAAACCGTTATCTCAAACCAAATAGGAGGCACGAAGACCACCCAGGTATAACTATAGGGTATCAAGAAAGAGACACAAGCTCGAAGACAGCATTTGAACCCCCAGATACAGAAACAAAAAGAAATAGATGTAACATGGTGCAATTGATTATCATATCGAGAGCGCTAATATCCGTAGACGCCCAAGAAATTATGTAGTTGTATATATATATAGCCCGTGGAGATCGACCGTGAAGGTAAATATTACTCCGCAATGATACCCACCACTAAGGCTCCGCATTTTCTTTTTCCGCCGCAGGCGGCGAGAATTCGTACTTGCGCTTCAACGGTACAGACGATTCAGTTGATGTAGGAGAGGGACCCTGGATACCAGATTCCGAAGGTGGAAGGGTAGCCAACGCCTCTCTTGATTCTGTTTCGGGGGTGCGGTCGATAATAGACGAGATGGATTGCTTGGTTGATCCGTTCACTGCGTGCTTGGGTGGTGTTGCCGCAGCGGATTCGGTGGGAGTGCCTTCTGCATCGGGCATGAACCGGTCTAGAACTTCAGTTTTGACTCGGTAGGAGCCTTCGCGCTCGAGCTCGCCCTCCGAGTCTGAGTCCATGTCCTCATAGTGCTGGTCGCCGTCGTGGTCCAGGGGAATGGAATCTAGCGGGCTTCCTTCTGCTGAGGCTCGGTGGTTGTTCATGACTGGTGGGAGCGGAGCATTCGGATCGTAGACTACGCCGCAGACTTCGAGGGCGCGGGATTGGCTGCCCAGAGTGCGGTCTTTGTGTTTCTTGGTGAGATGGCACATGAAGCCGTGGAGGGTGACGAAGTCGGATTTTCCGCAGCCGTGGATTGGGCACGTGAGATATACGAGGCTTCCGTCTGAGGGTCGCTTCCACAATGCTCGCCCAGATGGGTCGTGGGCTGCTGGTCGGCCGTGGCGTTCGCCCCATGCCTCTACGTTTTTGATGGTGTATTTTTGCTTGCGGCGGATGGAGCCAGCGCTGTGTATTTGGTCATGGGGAAGCATTGGGTGTTGATGCTGAGATGGTGGGGGAGGTGGGGGAGCTTGATGATGAGGTTGGGCGTGCATATGGGGTGGCGGCATTGATGGGGGTGGTGCCTGAGATGAGGGTGGGAGAGGTGCTTGACGGGGCTCGGGGGGACTCTGTTGCTTGAAGAAAGCCAATGTTGTTGCCGCACTGGTCTCTGATAATCGGCGAGGTGGTGTAGGCCGTAGAGGCGGCGAGTCGCTCGCAGCGTTGAGCCCCAGTCCCATGGACTCTCTCTTTAACTTCTTGCGTTGTCTTCGAAGGTCCTGTGAAGCTTGTTTTAGAACTATGATTCCCTAAACGGGTATCAGAATCTGGCTTACCTCTTCCTCTGCTTCGGCTCTCTCCGTCATTAACCGAAATTCCTCGTCTTCATGCTTGCGCATTGCCAGAATGCGACTACGAGTTGCATTCCGGGCCATTTCCTCGTGCTCTAGATGCCGGAGTCGAGCTTCGATATGTTCCAAAGAAGCTGGACTGTGTACTGGTGGTACTCCTTGGGGATGATGTTCATGCATAGGCGGCGCGAAATGACGGAAATGGTGGCTCTGCACCATCTGCTCCGGAGGTGGCATTTGGTGTGGAGGCGGATTCGGATTCATGGCAATGGGATGGTAGCGAGGGAGATGGTTGACGAGATGGCCGGGTATACCACTATCGGGGCCAGGGTGATGCACCGGCGGTGCAGTTGTCATTGTTATGGATGGAGGTGCTCGCGGTCATACAGTTTTGAACCCTCCTGCACCAAAGAAGAAGAGAGCACGGAGTATGTAGAAGTCGAAAAGGGAAAGGAAACTAAAATGAAAAGAAAATAGGATGAGACAATCGAAAGGGAAGACCCATCTCCGATCTATGGGTCGACGGTTTGGAAAGGATTGACATTCAGACCTTGGAGCTAACTACTTTGTATAAATAAAAATGAAAAATGAAAACGAAAATGAAAATGAAAATGTCAAATAATATAAATAAATATAAATAAACATAATAAATATAATACAATAATATAATAATAGAAAATAAGAAATGACTCTTCCACTAGCGCGACCCTTCTGCAACCCCGTTATCTTGAAAAATTCCCGTAACGGCGTAAGGGGATCGTCTCAGGGGATCTCGATTGTGATTGATCGTAGACTTATCTAGTACTCCCGATAGGTATTATTTAATAAAATTTTGGATAGGGTGTATAATAAAGGAATAGATTCAAATATAAAACTAATATACTAATCTAAGAATATATTGATGTGCAATGTGCAATGTACAATATAATCCGAAAAGAATGTTTTTTAATTTCCCAGAATGGTTGATGGAGCCCTCAAACCAGAAAGACAACCACTTATCCATGGAATTGGCACGACGCTAGCCATGTAATCAAATCACAATCAGCCCTGGAGAGCCCTAAAGTTCATTTCCTTTGGATCAGAATGGACCCTAATCTACCGGACCAATGATCGGCATCTCCAAATTGAAGGGAAAAGGATAAAATAAAATAAAAAAGAAAATAGTCACTTGACATCTCCTTCAGGGGAGGAGGGAGGGGAAATAAGTCTAAACATGACAAGTCTAAAAATTCTGACTGCAGTCACCCTATGAGCGTCATTGGTCCGAGACTATAATTTCAAAAGTAATATCAAAGGTATCATTCGGGGTTCAATAATACTTTCAATAATCTTAATTCCCTTTCCCCGGAGAAAAGTAGGAGTAAAGCACCTTATTAGAGTATATTATCGAGATGTATTTACCTCTTGACCCTAAAACAAAGCTAAATTCGATAGTCGAAGCCTCGAATCAGAGCCTCCGCGATTGAATTTTTTTCCCATCTGCCAACTACTGTATTCCGGGATTAACCATCCAATAATAAGCAACAGATCTACCCCATTACTGCCAAGGGTATGTTCATCCTGGAGATCATTATGTAACACAGGAGAACTTGTTCCTGACAAGGTTCCATGGTAGCCATAGAAGCGGGAAGAATCGCGATGGATCTTGAAATGTCTTCCACACTTCTAGTGATGTCCATGTACTCCGTTCCTGGTACACTATCATTCTTGTCTGGTCCATTGCTCTCCACACATTATTGCATTATTGTTTAGTGGCATCAATCTATTTGATTTGTGTATATTTCTTCTCCGAATTAGAACTACCCCAAGTCCCAGTATCTAGACTACTCCCTATATACTCCGTACAATCAACAATAACAAATACATTATTAATAGCCATGTAATATTTGCAAAGCCCGGGGATTCGAAATCAAGGAAATGCCAACCCACATATTTAGTGCCTCCGAACTGTACATCGTAAGCTAGAATATGGGTCTTGTATGGATTTTCTGCTCAAGTGACTTAGTAGGGCTATGGGTCTGCAGCAAATGCCAGGGCTTAACTTGTAAAGGGAAGCAAAGACGAAAAGGGAAAAACGAGCCCTAGAACTCGAACAAGGAAAAAAGAAAAGAAAAGAAAAGAAAAAAAAACACAGCATGTCAACAGAGTGGGGAAATGGAAATAATCATACGTACTAGGGGTACGCTAACGCAGATGGTCTCACTCAAGAAGTGATCGACGAATGGTCGAGGGGCCAGTTATGTGGGAGTTTGAAAATTTTCTACTCCGTAGTTGCACCGGGATTTAATTTAAAAGATATCTTACACTTCAGATCGGTACTATACAATATTGAATTTAGCAATAGTGGTTATATTTACAAATCTAGGACGATATGAGGTAGGTACTATATTGTATCAGTCATCTCTCCCCCTTGTCTATTTCAAATGTTCTGCATTGAACCCCCCACAAAGCCTCGTATATAATCTTATTTCGAAATAATTATTATTTACACACATCATTGTAGAAGACCCACTGTAGTAGCCCGACTGGTGTGTACAACGATGATTTGCTACTCGACCGCACCGCTGCAGGGAAGCCTGTACGATTACTTCGCTCTGTTACCACCCAGCTCGAGTCCAGATTGGTCTGATGGCAAAACGGTGCTTTTCTCGTGTTCTTGTTTAATGTACGGCGAAATCTTGTTTCTTCCTTTGTTCCTATGACGATGCAACATATCAAGGGCAATTGTCCTAGACTAAGCATGCACTGTTAAAGTTCAGGGGGCACAAGGGACACACAATAGAAGCTTGCAGAAACCTACCTTTCACCTCCAAGGTATATTGTACCTATGTTGTAGTCAACCCCATTATAGCCCCCCTTCTCATACCTTCTACAATCCTAGCTCCTCTCGACCGAGATCCTATCATTCACTAGTAGGAGTACAAAGTAAACTAGCCTTGATTTTTTTGTGGATAATGCAAGGATGACGAGACTATATTCCGTAGAG